TAAGCCAAAAAGTACCGCAAACAGCGTGTTTTCCTTTTGTTCATTGACATTTTCCGAGTGAACAACAACGTATTCATCAGAGTTAACAGCTGAAAACACGCATTTTCCGGGAAGGTTAATGTGTGTTAATGCGGGAAAACATAATGTTTTCCAGAGTTTGCAGTTCGTATAATGCATAGAAAATGCTATGTTTTCTTCTGTTCGCAACCATTTTTCGCCCGGTGAATGAAATGTTCACAAGAATTATCCAGTCGAAACCATGCATTTTCCAACGTTTTTCCTCGCTAGTGAATCCGAGCTTTAAATAAAATGATCTTAAAGGTACTACCTTTTTTAAGTATTCAAATATAAAGGAACGATCAAAAGGATATTAGGGTAAGCGATGGCGGAGATTGACTCTTGGATTGTCGTTTAAAGACGAAATTCACAGTGAAGCAATTCCTGGTGTGATGCTGATTTTTACTTAGAAAACAACCCGTCGCTCTACTCCCCACCGAAAATAGAGGATTTTCTTCCGGCGAAATGAAGAACTTATTTTAGCGTTTTAAACCAAACTGTTTGAATTACTAAACAATGATATTAGCAGAATTTCTTATTCTGATACCAATCATCACAATAAATTAGCTGTCTTGTTATTTTTGTCTCGTTGTAGGAGAAGGGAAAATGCAAAGAAAAGTGTTATGGAACTCCGTGCTCTTCTGCAGAGGAAACCTAATGCTCGCGCAATGGCCATTGACATCGAAACATACGAAAACGACCACAGCAAAATTCTCGAAATTGGGTTCGTCATCACTTCCCTAGCCAGTCCTGAAGGGAACGAGCAAGCATATCATTTTATCATTAAAGAACACCTCTACATGGTGAACAGGGATTATGTTTCGGACAACCGAGACAAGTTCAGATTTGGCACCTCACAGCGCATGTCCCTTGCAGAGGCCGCTGGAAAGTTCTCGCAGTATATCAGGGACGTGGATGTACTGGTGACTCATTCGAGCGGACAAGAGGAAGAATACCTTGCCAAGAACGGCATGTCCTTAGAAGGGAAACCAATGTTTGACACTCAGCTTCTTGGCTTAGCACTGCTGACCGACGAGAAGAACTTGAGCGTGTTTGGCCTGAAGCGTCTGATGAATGACCTGGCAATTCCATATGACGAGGATATTCTCCATAACGCTGGGAATGACGCTCACTACACAATGAAAGTGTTCCTGGCATTGAAAAAGAAAGTGTAATGAGAATTCTAGGTGCGAAGTGAGTTTCAGACCGTTAGCAGCTTTAGATTGATCGAGTAGAAAAAAACAAAACAAAAAAACAGCAAAGAATATAATTTCAAATTATATCTGTTGCATAACCAGATACAGCATAACTCAAACATTTGATCTCAGGCCACGATAGATTACGGCAGTAAATTATCTTCACTAATTTTTTTCTTCGAAATGATTTCAATGCGTATAGTGGTATGGTCTGATCGTTTGTTATTATTTGTCAAACAAAAGTGAATACAGTCAATTCTTTTTCCTTCCCCTCCCTCTTCCCCGTTGCCCATTTTTCCTCTTAACACCCTCTCCCTCGGAAAATATTTCCTCGCCCCAATCATCCACAGTTACCAAATCTAAGATGGCGGCCTAATACGAAAATGTGCACTCGTGCGTCCAAAATACGCCGGCACTGCAGGCTACGACATACTTCTCCAAATTTATTATTAATAATTACGACGTGTACCTTTGCACTTTGAAATAAGTTCCTTGATAAATCACTTCAAATCAGTTTACGCCAAAAATTCTCAATTACTTTGTCGCACCATAGGAATACTTTACATCGCTGTGACAACCGAGCCGACACAAGGATTTAGTACAATCTTGTGGATGGTCGCGTATCAGAAATACGAGACAAAAGGATTGTCAAATGTTCGCGGTCGCCAAAAGGAGTAAGCGCAGTGTCGCTTCCGAAGGAGTTCTTAAAAAAAGTATTTCATCAAGAAAAAGAGCTATATATTAAGTGGTCGTTAAGAGAGAGTTCACTGTAGGATAAGAACTAAAAGGAATCTTAATCGTTAATGGTAGGATTTATCCTAAAAATGTGGTTATTATGTGGTAATTTACTAATTAAAGCGAATAAATAAAACTAAATAAGAATTACGACAAACCTTAGAGATCAAGATTTTTGTACCTCTTCATCAAAACTAAATGGAAAAGGAGCAGCTGAATTGTAACTTTGCGTTTCGAAGACAGTTATGATTATAGAAAGCACTTGGAAAGCATTATTAATATCATGACGTGAACTTTTTTCATCTCAGTATAGCTGACAATGACTCTACATTTGACACCCATTTCTGAGCTGATTGTATCTTGTTTAGCTTCTTACTTTGAGCACTTGTTCGGAAAGAAAAATAATAAATAAAACTGAGCATTTTACTGACTGGATTATACATCTACCTTTCCCCCGGGAGAAATACAAAACCCTGTTCGACCTTACGACGGTCCATAGGTAACTGAAACCGCTCTTCATTTGTGGCACGAGTGCAGGGTATAACAAGTTTGGTTATTTCGAATGCGTTCTGTGCAGTATTGCAATATTTCAATGAGTATATATAAAATAACTCATGTTCGAACTTCGGGTGTCGCCTGGATTTTACATAGAGAGGAAAGAGGGGAGGGAGAGTAAACAAGCGTATCTGTGACAGTTAAAAGTTCAGTTCACTTTTTGCGCATTTTCAAAACCTAACAGAAACGGAACGAGTGCTTACTCTACAAGATTAAAGGTGTTCAAAATTCTTGTTCTGGGAAATTACCCTTTCGAAAAGCTTCGTGTAAAAAAACCAAAGCAACAACAACAAAAACCAGACAATGTTGAAAGGTTTTGACATTTTATCATCAGTTTTCTTAACATGTACATTCTAAGGCTGTATCATACAGGGACAAAGACGAAAATATACGCAGAACTAGTCAGCAAAGAAAGGTTTCCATACGTCCCAGGAATTACTCATAGCCTCTGCAAATAAAATTTAGAATGTACGCGTTAGTATAAGAAGAATATTTATTTTAACAACAGTCATGAATAATAATTAGTGTCCGCAATTAAAAACTATGAACTCACTTGACCATTGGAGCAATTTCCCAATTGGTTTGTGCACTGGTTACAGGTTCAATCAAAACACCATCACTTGTAATGACTGCAATTTCATACTGAAATCAAATGAAAATCCATTTTGACGGCTTTGACTTAGGATGCGAACTAAAAGCGACTCCATGTAGATTCGACATTGTACAGAAAATGTTACAAACCTTGTTTAGTGACCTGGCATCTCTGTAAAACAACACTTGCAGACATTTGGTGATCACTTGCCTTGCCTCTTCTAGAGACATGCTGGGATTCTTTTCAAATGCGCCACGAAGAATTGGCTGAAATAGGAAACCAATATTCAACACTTAAAGTTGGTGAAAATGTTCCATCAAAACAAGAAAACATCACAATCGGCTGGCTTTGCACTTTTGATTGTTTATATTTTTTCACACCTCCAATTTGGCCAAAGAGGAATTACTGTATAATGGAACAACTAAATTTGAAGGAGAGGAAGCAAATTAGTTTGATACATATGGTGCTGTAATCATTTCCATCAGAGGAACACGCAAGAGCCCTAAGGCAGCCAATGAATTTCACAGGCTCTGAGTGAAAAGCAAACAAACAAGGTGAGGAACAGAGATGTTTGGAATTCAAACAAAAATACCAAGCTGCAACACATCCCTCAGCCAAAAAGAGGTATAGCTGAATTATACAACGCAAAATTGATTACAGAGCACTCATTAATTTTATATTTTGATCCTGCTACATAAACATAAAACACAAAGGTTGATCAGAAGCTTAAGTCCTTTAACAGGAAACTAATTCATCAGACAATGACATACAGGTAGACTTTATCACTACCGGTAAGTGCATTGTTTCAGAATATCATGATATCAATAAAAATAGAAGGGAAAGATGAACCCTCTAAAAATTTGCCTTGTTCCAACCATGAACCTTTATAGACTGGATGGTATTGGCACCCAACTATTATCTAGGGGGTAAGTTTCTAATAAAAGAAACTGTGGTGCTCATCGATGGAAGTGACAAGGTAATTTTGGTTTTATCAACTGAGTTGATAATGTATATTGGCCACTGTAAAAAGGTTTAGAAGAGATTATTGAATTATTCCTTTACTTGATTTAGGGGTAGAGTTGTGAAGTACAAGAAATAAAGGAATAGAGCTTCATAAATTAGTTATTACTACTTATCATCATTTATCTTGTTACTGAAGGTAATCACGTTTCATATTTAGATCAATAATTTCAGAAGACAAAATTTTTTCTCACCTGAGCAAGATATGCACCAAACCCAGTGGCTATTGTGGGTGCTTCAAAAGCTATGCCAATCTTGTCCACACATCCTAGGAAACTGTTGAGCACACCAGAAAAATAACTTAGGTCACCACAGTGTTTACTCAAAATTAATGCGCTGACAGTGAGGTAGCAGTACTAACTGCCACCTTAAATTCTTAATATTACGAAGCAACAAAATGCATTCCTGACTAATTTTGCGTAACTTTGTTGCTTATTCACATTTTACCCCCAACCCATTAAGAGGGTAGGAGGTATTTTGTTACATTTACTTGAATTCATGCCACCCATGATTAAACCCTGCAGATGGAAGCAAACTAATCATTTAGCACTACCCTCGAATGTATGCCTCATCCAACCAGAAGAACGCAGCATTTACTTAAAGCTTGTTGGGAAAAAAGGAAATGGGCAGAGTGTAATTCATTTAACTACTAGACCATCCTCAAGAACTTCAATAAAAAAGGGAGACAATTTAAGTTATAATACATCTCTTTTCTACCAAATATTTACAGATATGATTTACCCACATTGTTGTCAATCATTA